CATGAACAAATATATAATATGTTTTTAGGTGACATGTTGAAACATTTTTTAAACTAGAAGATTACAAGTAACATCTGAAACATCTGACATGGCTTATGATTGATCTTAATAAGTGTTCTAATATAAAATAAGTATATGCCAGCATGGCTCCACACATACCTCACAGCACTAGAAGCAACAGAATATTCAGAATGTACTTTTACTGATTTCTTTGTCCATTGAATATCCTTTGTGGAAAGTAAAGGCTATTAATTGAAAACCGTTGTCCAGCTAATCGAAAATTTTTTTGCTCACTTTGTCATACAGACACCATGTTTCACCCGCCTACAGATGACTACGGGCAAGGCCGCTATATTTTCAGTATGTAGTTCAGTGCTTTACATTTTTAATCACCAGGTTCATTGACCTATGCCTTTCATCAAAGTGAATTTCATAGGTGTTTTTAACAAAACATGGATGGGTCTTTGTAGAACCATTTATGGAAATAAGATGTGTAAGTGTGAACTTTTTCCTCTATCAGTTGAAGGTGTTTTTCTAGATCTAAGCCAAGAATCAGTATTTTTAAGCATGTAATCAAAACTGAGGGTTGACAAGTAAATAGTATATAGTAAAATAAATTCCTGTAGTACTGTATTATAATAATTTAGGTAACACAAGGGGACATTATAATGACCTTACATGAACTGTACATATCACACTTTCTGTACCCCCTATCGTGCATCTTGCACATCTGGACACTCCACACCTGGACACTTTATTTTAGTACCAATATATGCACATATCTATTCAGTATTGTCATTATATACCGTTACCTGTGCCTCCTTGTACAGTCATTATTGCACTGCCTTTTACATCTCAGGTCATAGATATCATTCCAAATTTTTGTATTTTCTATTTGTATATATGCCTGTAGATAGGATTTTTATATTTATTCTTCCTGTTATATTGTTTTCACCCTTATTACTATTTACTGTCCTGTGTGACTGCTACTGGTTGCTAAATTTCCTTCGGGATCAATAAAGTGTCTATCTGTTTGTCTGTCTGTCTATCTATCTATCTATCATGTTTTATAATATGTTTATTTAGCCTAAATAAACCAGTAATAGTAATTAACTGGCTGCTTATTACTGCATTATTAACCCTCTTGGGTCCACAAACTCACCCACACATCAAGTTTGATGTTTCTATATGTCGTCGCTGTCCAAAGAAAAGTATGTATTGTGTGAACATTTCATGATGAATGGACCAACAGACATGCTCTAAAATCACTTGGAATGAAACATCTTTACACTGACTTACATTGAAATCTAAGAGTTTTTTCCTTCTCCTGTAAAGTTACTATTTTTGGAGGTTTTCTTTGGACAATGACTATACGTTCGCCCTTTCAATTCCAACTTATCACAAGATCATATGTGACTCACATCCAGAGTTATCAGGCTATGAACAGGAGTTGAGAAACACATTTATCTCTTACCACATGTATGTGAAACCATGTGAAGTGATGGATTCATGTGTCCATCTACATTGTATGTGAAACTGACTAATGGACACTCAGGAAATCATTAAGAACCATCCCGTCGGAAACCCTTCATTCTGCATTCAGTCGAGACTTGTGGTTCAAGGTCAAAAGGTTTACAGCCACTGAAGTTGCTGCAGTGGTTTTGGAAAGTAGCAACAAAGATAATAAAGCACTCTGATATGAAAACATGTGCGTATCAAGTTATATGCAAGTGCCTTCAAAGGTGAATTTAGATTTAAATCGAGAAAACACCCATAGAACCCAGAGGGTTAAGAAGATGAATTAAGCATTTTTACTTAAGCAATTACCTAAGCCTTATTAAACCAGCATTTGGTCATTTATCATTACTGGTTATCGGTAATTTGGCTTCAAAAGGTTAAAATGTACATTTGAAGGTTGATAGGCTAATATTAGTTATTAATTTGTTGTAAAATCCATCCCCCCTGGTCTTGATCTCATTAAGGCTTAATAAGAGCATGAAAAGTGCTCTTAATTCACTCTGGTTACTGCTTACTAATGTAATAACAGGCACCCAGTTAATTAGCAGTCATTGTCTTCATAAATTAAGTTACCAGCTATTGGCTTGATAAGGTTTAATAAGGGGATAAGACTTAAAATGTTCTGCAAAAGATCATAATACATAAAGGTGCTTTGAAAAATTGTTTGATCCACCTTAGTTATTACTTCATGATGTTTTAACGAGCAGAGTTAATATGGCTTAATAAGGGCATTACATATGCTCTGAAAAATGCTTAATTCAGTGTAGTTACTGCATAATGATGTAGTAATAAGCATGCAGTTAATTACCAACCACTGACTTGTTAGGGCATAGGAATCACATTACAAGGGCATCAGGAGTCAGAACTAATGCAATACACACACACACACACACACACACACACACACACACACACACACATCATTAAAACCGCTTATTCTTTTTCATAAGGGTAAATATGTTTTTTATGGACTGCCTGTAAATTTATAGAGGGTTAGCAACTCTGCATGGAATGTACTGTCACAAATTTGCCTCTTTTTGCTGCTCCCTTTCTATTCAAAGGTACTCGTTCAAGGCTTTAACCTCAGCCAGCCCTGTTCTCTGACTAAACGAGCATTTTTAGAGGACGAGGGTCTTCCTGCTTGGCAAGTCAGATTGATTCTTTTGCTTGAACAATTTGTTCTCACTCAGTGCGGGCTAAATGCCCTGCACCCCATTGATCCAGCTGGAAAGTCGCTCGCTAACCCAGCTGCGGTGCACCTCGCACATTTCTGTTTGTTTTCTCTCCCTAAAGCCTGGCCGACTCTACGGCTACAAACATCACCTCAGCCTGACAATTAAGCCAAAGTGGCTTTATTCGCCACATGGAGATGTGGAGTCTGCTGTCATGGAAACCTTTAGCTTAATTACTGTTTGCTCTGCACTATGGCATGGACTTTGCTCGAGCTGTTCATGGTCTTTTGCTTAGCCTGGATGTTCTCTGCTCTTCAGCCTTCTCTCAGCAAACACACCCACACACTGCTACTGCTAACTTCAACCGTCAGCACACAGATGATGGGGTTGGGACTGGATACTGAAATTCATTACTTTTATGGTACCGACCCAAACATCAAAAACATCCGTGTCATCCAGACGCAACCTTCAATATGGCTCAGGTCAGCTGCACTTTTCAGGGCATTTTCCGTGCTCAACTGCTCGGTGGGTGTTTCTATAATAGTGTTTCCTGTAGCTAGGCTGCAGTATGGGTGGGCTACATTTCTAGACCTCTATGTCATCAAAGGCTCTTCCAATCAAAATAATCTCTGAAATACTGCTGAGCAGTTCAGTCTGCATGCTGACAATTTTTGGGTGGTACCGGTGTCACCCACAATCCTTTGCACATGCATCTGATCCAGAAAAGGTTCAAGAGAAACACTGATGGATGAAACCATCACATCAGTAACAACATCTACAGAATTTGTGTTGAACTACAAGTTGTTCATAAAAGCCATGATCCAAATGCTTATACAGGTTAAAATTAGTTTAGCCAGCTTTCAAAAATGTGAGTTTGTGTTTGTAAGAAGGGCTGAATATATTTAGTCCACTGCATAGCCAATACCAGTGGTCAAAGTGCTACACAAAATATACTGCATGCTGGTTAAAAAGGCAAGAAAAGTAGTAAAATAAAATATTTAGGATGATATTCCTTTTGGTTTATCTGTTTAAGGGTGTGAAGTGAATGCACGGAGTGAAATAACTTCAAATCAGTGATCCGAGCTGTTTTTAGCTTGAAAGACAGCATTTCACTACAGAGAAATGAATGTTTTGTGTCAGCTTACTATCATTCACATCAACAGCATTTTGATGTTTGATTTGCTTCCTGCTCAGATCATATAAACTTCATCCTTTTCAATGTCTTCCCTCCAAATCTTCACTGTCAGCACTTTTATAAAATCAGGAATTTCTACTATGGCTCAAATCTGTCAGGAATTAAAAGAGGAAAAAGATAGATATCATTGCGCTTCTCCTCTTTCAGAGAAAGTTTAAAATTTGACATTCATGACGAGGACCAATCTACCTTGCCTGACTAAAAAAATGCCGTGCAGAGGCTGGACTCATTTGCATGAAGCAGAAATCTGCTAAACATTTTCAGGCAGATTTTGCTGCCCCACAAGTGCCATGCACCAATCGGCTCTGATACACTCAAGTAAAGTTTTAACTGGATTTATATTCTTCATGGTTTTGAATGGAAATGGTGTCTTTCTTTCTACTAAAGTACATGTGTGGAATCTACTTTTTCTTCGTTCCCATATTATTCACATTACCATTTACATTGACTTCCTAATTCTCCCTTTTCTTTTAATTTCATTATGTTATGTTGGTGACTATGTTTGTACTGCTCTGTGTACCGCTTTTTGTAGAACCAGAGTGCATTAAAAAGAGAGAAAAGGAGCCTCACAAACTTCGGTTCTTATGATGATATATGTTGAATGTTCTAAGTCTTGCTGCAGTTCTCAGTTCTCAGTGCTTCCACTTAAGCAGTTTTTTATGTTGCTTGCACTTCTGCTTGAGTCATTTTGCTTAAATATTACTCCTACTTTTCGCACCTCTGCCAATGACGGCTGGTGTGCAAGTCTAAAAATAAGAAAAATAAGACACTGAGAGTCTAAGACCGTTCATTTACAGAGACCAGACTACAGTACTATGACACTCTGAAATAGAGTGCAGTCATTTTGTAAAAGCAACTTGATGAGATTTAAAAGTGGACACTGTGATGCAAAGCAAGCACTGTAAAACATTAAAAACACAAAAAATTAAAACATTGGAAATCTTTATAACTCCTTCCAGGTCAGAAGAACAGGAAAATGTGTTGCTGCTGTCACCTTCGCAATTTATATTGCACGCTTCTATGCGCATCCTCTTCCTTAAGAGAAACATTGTCTAAACCAAACTTGCTTCTCCATGGCTGAGTGTGTGTGTGTGTGCCTGGTTAATGACACTCACCCATGAAATTGAGGTAGCCCTCCCCTCCGAGGCTGTGAGTGAGGAGCCGGATGAGCTTGTGCAGCTGCATGCCACGGTCTATGACAGGCGTCATAGCGATCAGCGCGCTCATGTTAGTGTACATCTCCTTATCCATCAGCCAGAAGGCTAACGACTTGTCCCCAACCAGCGCCTAGCAAGAAGATGAGGCATAGAGGTGACCTCCACAGCTTTCTTTCCAGATGCTTCACTAACATGAGCTTAAATGTTCTTACGTCAGGCTGACCTCAGATACTGAGCAAGTTTATACTTTATAAATGCACTGATTAATTGATCTGAAGGTGCTGATTCAACTGCATCAACTTTAGAATCTTAGAATTGATTATTTATATTTAATTAACTATAACTGTCCACAAAGTATAAATGTTCACAAAAAGTATAGGCTCATTCAAAATCAAACTTCTCCAGTCACATTCATTTGTTCAGTGTATTGCCAAATAATCAAATCAAATCAGAGTGAAATATTTCACAATGCTATATCACATTTTACTACATTTGTATTTGTGTGTACATTTTTCAAATCTAATCAAATCTAATTCAACAGTACTGACCATATCAACATTGCTAACCCTACTGCATTTTTGAAAACATTTCTTACAGACAGAACAAACCCCTTATTTTTTAACATAATTTAAACAAACCAAATGTCCTTTACATTGTGCAAATATTTACTGATGAATAGACCAACAGAAAATGTGGTTCCACTTTATATTAATTGTCTTTAATAATTGTGTAGCTACACATTAAGAATGCACGCAACAACAATGTAACCACTGCTGGATTACAGTAGAAAAGCTTAGGTAAACACACATATGTATCACCTTTTACTCATGTAATTGCACAAGTGCATCTTAATAGAGCATAATTTCTCACATGTAATTACACACATGTAACAGTGATGGGGTCATTACATTGGTATAAACTCCTGTGTCACATTTAAAGTCAGAGTTTACCACTACAGTTTGTTCAATGATAATTACATATGAACTGCTGTTTCCAGCAAGTCTTTTCTGGTTGTAACAGGTGTGTAATTACCAAAACTACAGCTGCACAGGAAATGCCAACTTTCCTTTTCCTTTAACTGGCTGCAGCAGTGTGCTTGTGTTGTGACACAGTAATTAAAATTCTGGCTTTAAACCATTCCGTAATCTGAAGGTACAGCAGTCCATACAAATATAATGACCCTCACCCTGTTACACATGTAATTACAGAAGAGAAAATATGCTTAGAATTATAAAGATAGAATTGTGTAATTACATGAATAAAAACATAAAATTGATACACATGTGAATTTACATAAGCTGTGCAATCTATCTTTAACGGTGAATATTCACCAGTAGTTACGCTGTTGCATGTATATAAAGTGGGAGTGAAAATATCCAAAATAGTTTAGAATAAAATCATTACATTATCTTGCTTTAAAATTGTTTTTGTTCTTTTTCTGTAAAGTTATCATTTGTAAATAAGATTTTGTTCTGACAGTGATGATGTGTGTCTCCAGGACAGGCGTTGGTTGGTTGATATAATGGAATGCAAGTATTCAAAATTTGTATTACACTTCTTATCTTTTTATATGGATACTTTCAATATTCTTACCCACTAAATTTAAGAGGAACACCATTGATGCTTATTTATTAACAATGTTAAAATCAGTGCATGGTGGATGGTAAACATTCTCCTTACACAGACTCTAAAGAGAAACTCAGCCAACGGCTTCTGTAAAAACACTTAAGTTCCTGCTAAAACCTGAGTACACTGATAAATAACGACAATGAGCCAGTTATTCAACTCAGTGTAACTGAGCTCTTCTGAGTGACGACTGAGCTAAACAGTCCTTCCTCGTAGTAGACATGTTTGCAAATGATAAGCTTAGAATCTATGTTGTACTGGATTCATGCGTTTGTTTCATGGTATGATGTCACATACGGTTGTATATAAAAACTTGAATATTGCTGGTCAAATAACACTTATTTTTTTCTAAGTGAAAATAAGTTAAAATATCCACTACAACAACTTCAAATATGACATTTTTTTTTCAAATCTTATTTTCTGAATTTAACATATTGGAAAAATACATACAGTATAACAAATAACCTGCTCTGTAGGGATGTTAATACTACTGATTTGCATCTCTATTTGGTTGTAGAATCTACCTCTATTCAGTTTGCTGGGAGTGATTGAGCCATGTCAGAATATCCCCTCTTATTCATTTCAGCCAGAAGGTAAGAGTCATTTTAGATACAAACACAAGATCAGACTGTAAATAAATTTGCAATGCTCATTTTTACATTTTTTGTTTACTTTTATGTAAATACATTAGGGCTGGGCGATAAAACGATAACGATAAGTATCGCGATATAACTTTTCCTCGATATAGCGATAAGACAGGTTCGATAAATGTTCGATATAATACACCATTCTCACACTTCTACGTTTTAGCGAAAGCCCTGGTGGCGTTTTCTACTGCAAGGAAAGCAGCACTACTCCGCTGTCGCCAGGAGAGGGCGCACTTCTGAATTTTTCGACTTGATTAGAGAGGGAGGGGGCCACGAGTAAAAAAAGGGTCGCCAAATATACTTTAGCAACGGCTGAAACGCGGAGTTATACATCCCTGTCTGAGTGGATGTTATCGGCGATCTGTTCTCCTGTGACCGAGTGTGAGTGACGAGGTCAGTGGTGTAACTGTACTGTCCTACAGTGAACTCACCTCTTTCTGACTCTGTTTGACTGGTGTGAGAGATTCACACTGCAGATAACGCTTTTACACAGCGAACGTGAGATATACTGCAGTTCACCCCTTAAACTACTACGATAGCATAGAGAAATCCAGCCGTCGCTAGCTGGTGTCTGAATACTGTGATCTGCTCTGACATGGATGGTAGGAGTGACAGCAGTGACCTACCGAACCGAGCTGACGTTGTTGAGAAACTGAAGAGTTTAGCACTGTTGTTGGCCACTTGTTTAGCATTTGTAACGGGGTAGCCGAGCGCTCGTCACCAGACAGCTAAAAATAATCTGTTTTCTTTCTTAAATCATGACTATTACAAAAATTGCAGCTGTGCTTTTCAAGCTGATAAAAACAGCTCAGAAACTTTCTCCCACTCTTCCATGACAGATTAGTGAAATGTTCCACTGTTTGCCGAGTGTTTGTCATGATCGGACCATAAGTGATAGTTTAAAACCACAATTAACCACCCAGGAGCAAAATCAGCCTTCAAACGTGAAAGAAATCATGATTTGACATTTATCGCGATATGTATCGATATCGAATGATATGAATTTTGTTTATCGTGATAACGTTTTTGGCCATATTGCCCAGCTCTAAAATACATCCATGCAAACTTTTGTTTATATTCTTTTTTATTTTCCTGGAGAAAATGCTGATTGATTGCACCACTTAAGCAGTTCCCAAGTGGTTGCTAGGGTTTTGCTGAATGGTTACTATAGTATTTTAGAGGGTTCAACATTATTAATAGGGTGTTACTAACAGATTTGTATCAACATGACATACATTGGGTGCACAAACTTTTTCACCTCTTCCATTCTTATGGGAAAAATACTTGATATTTAATGATAAACCGTACGTCTGATCAAAAACATGTATACAAGCACAACTTTCCCACTGTTCCACCATAGCAAAATCGACAATATGTATCATATTGTGAAGTGGTGTATTGTTGCACCCCTATTCCAAAGATATTTTTAATATATTCCTCTATCTTGTACTTTTAATTCTCTTTTTCACGTATTGCAATGAAATACTTTAGTGACTACATTTCACGCAGTGAATTCAGCATTCAGCATTCATCTCTGCATTTGACACTCTAATATTACTAATGTTTGTGTTAGTAACTAATGATTGATGTTTGAGCCAACCTGGTCATGGCTTTCAGCATAACAGATGGAGTCCTCGCCTCTCCTCCGATTGGTCAGTGTGTGAACGATATTCCACATGTCCCAGTCTTCATCCTTCACCTCCTTGAGGATCTGAAAGCAAAATACAGTGTATTTTTCACACATCTTCTTTCCATTCTGTTCACATGCTCCACTTTAATAATGTATCATTTTCAGCATCTGCATTTTGCTTTCTGTGGCTCAGTTTGTTATTCATTATTCACTGTAATATGTCAGATTTTTCCCACACTGTGCAAAAGTATTCAGACAGTCCTTCTAGTTAGTTAATTCAGCTTCTTTAGAGTGTACCTATTGCTGACAGAGTTCTGTATAATTGCCATAGAAAAGTAATGGCAATAGAATGGAAGGCTCTGGAGTAGCCAAACATAAGCCTAGTGCCAAGCATCAGATAAAATAAAACTGTGTTCTCTGGAGTGATGGAGCTCCATCCAGTACCTTTAGGTTGAGCTGGAGTGACATTTGTAATCCAGAACTAATCATCCATCATGATGCCTTCACACAAGAGCAAAGGCTGTTACTGCAGGAATTAGTATACATACTCCTTATTAATACTGTTGATTTTGAAAGAAATACTAAACAGATGTCTATAAACTTTTGGACACATAGCTATTACATAGTTCAGTATCTTTAAGCAGCCCAATATGGCTGACAGAGAACAACTGATTATGTCTCCCTCCATCTTATAAATTCTACCACCTACTGAAAGCACTGGAAGTGTTAATCATAGGGTGCCCTCTCTACCAAAAGCATATGGCACAAGGAGAACAAGGAGAAGCTGAACTCTGGCCACAGGAACTCAGCTGCCCTGCAGGAGAAATACTTCAGCCCCAAAAGCAACTTTGTTGGACTGTATTTCGTTTGAAGTGTCTCAAGCCCTGCAACACAAAAGTCTGAACTACCAGCCCTGGGACTAGCTGCTCTAGTGGCCAAGGACTCGGCTACAAGGCAGACCACAAAGCAACAGGCTGCTGTGAGCAGGCGTTGAGGGATCGGCACCAGAAAAGACATCTAAAGAAACCGGCATGGTGTTTCCATGGCAGCCAGAACAACCAGGGCTGGCTTTTTCCTGTTGGAGCATTCAAGGGAGTTGAACGACGAGCTGAACACACAACGGCTGCTATCGTAAGCCGTGGCTGGATGTAGAGGTCAGTGCTCCAGCCCCAGGCCGGCTCCAGGCAAAAACACAGCATTATTCAGCTCAGGACTCACCGTGGGGCATGCATGGTATCCAACATACAAGGAGTCCCAGTGTACCACTGTCTTAGCTGAAAGGCCACTCTCTTCATTACTGCCCTCTCTTACTTTCTGTCATTGACTACATTAAGCAACGAAATCAAATGTACACAATTACCCCAAATGTAGTCGATCAAATGTTGCCAAGACATATTGGGTATCTTTGGTTTTGCACTGGAGCTGCAAGACTAAAGTAGCTACTAAGTAATTGAAGCATCGCCTATGTACGTACTCTGAATAGATTTGCTTGCATAGATTCTGACACTCCATATGATATACTAATACACCGTTGACTTAAAATAGTCCAAAGTACATAGATTTGAGGCCTGAATTTTATACTTTTGTCCATTTTCATAGTTATCAGAAACCACATAAGTCAATTTAAGATTATATAGCAAATCAACACAGTTTTAAGGCAAGTGTGTGATGATTTAAGTATGCAGTTTGCACAATGCTAACAGGGTCATTCCTATGTTTCCAGGGGAATGAGATAATTAAGCAGTGGCCATGACTTAATGAGGTGCGGAAACAAGATAACCAAGTCGCGGGCATGACTTAGTAAGGCATAAGAGTGATATAATAAAGTCATGCCTACAACTTAGTAAGGCGTAGGAACGAGATAATTAAATCGTGGGCATGAGGTACTAAGGTGTAGGAATGAGATAATTAAGTCATGCAGCCATTTAAACTCAGCAAGTGTCATGTATTAGGATACTATTCCCATGCCTTAGTAAGTTGTGGCCACACATTACTTTTATTAGGAAGGAATGTCACCAGCAGGGCCCCATGTTCCCTTATTACATTTTTCCTGGAAACAGTTCCTCCTATGGTCCCATGTTTCTGCTTCAAGTTGAAAAATTAAATATATATACAAATATCACATTATTAAATTTTCAAACAATATCTGAAACTGGCTTTTAGACTTGATGCTTCCAAATAGATTCCCATTAATAAAACACACTCTAGTTACATATTACAGTGAAAAAGAATGAGAAATGATTTAATGATAAAACAATATTCGCAGCATCGCAAAACACTGTCACAGTGGTATTCATAATAAAAATGTCATCTTGCAGCACATTCACAGTACAACATCTGCTTTCCATTTTAATATTTTTCTAACATGAGCTTGTCAACTTGACGTCATCATTTCTCCATGGGGGAATCCCAGCCATCTTAAAAGCCATTCCATTATTACTGCTATTTGAAGAAACACCTCTTTTGTGCATTACTTAAACTCCACTGATTTTGCAAAATTACTTAACCATTCAATGGTTTCGATGTAAACAAAATCAAAAAGTGGTTTGGTGTTAAATGTGCCTTTCTAGAGAAATTTACAGAGTCAAAATTGTTCACTGTTGAAGTACTAGGAACCAGACATTCGTATGTCTACACTACAAATATCACCTTTTTATGTGCTATCCAAAAAATGACCAGTGAACTTACATGTGTCTTAGAAGTTTTTCTATGTCATGCTGATAATGGTGCATTTCCCACTGACCCACTCTGAATGATTTTGGTAACTTCTGTATCATTGAATGATTGCGCAATTTTGCAAAATCGGTGGAGATCCCCTTTAATGTTTCAAAACAATGACAATTTGCTATGTTTAAACTGGGCTTTATGTAATATACCACTCCTGTTATACGTCTGCTGATGTGAGTTTGTGAATTTATACAACTACCAACACCAAAAAAAACAGTAATACACAACAACTAGATAAAGTTTATGTATACTTTGCTCTGATTTCTCAAAAATGCCAATCACAAAGTTTGCTTAGCTAGCGATTTAGCTCACTGGGAGTTGCCTAGTTGAGGGCAAGCGCATTGCTGTTGAACAAACCGACTTTTTATTGTCCTGTGTACGGATAACCTTTAGTAACCTTTAGACCCTAAACATGATCTTAGGAATTCTTTCAATAGTTCACACTGATGTATGAAGTATCACATAAAAATAAGGAAAATAAGAAATAAGAAAGTAAGGTTCTGAAAACATAAGACGCTGGGATTATAGGACACTGGGAACATAGAAGTCTGAGAACTTAGCAGCCTGAGAAAATGAACATGGTACCACATCCTTATTATCTTACATTACTTGTTAACTACATTAGCCTCACAGACGCAAATTTCAAACACAAAATGTGTTTTGACTGATGGATATTTAGTGTACACTGTTAGAAATAAAGGTTCTGTCTAGGTACATTTTTTATTCATCAAGGTACAAACAATGTAAATGTACCTTCAAAGGTGCAGCAATGATATTACAGGAGAGAGGGTGTGTGGAGTCAGTACAACTTCAAAAACATGACTGCAATGCATCGTCGTACAATTATGTTCCCTAACTAAATATATTGAAGACGTACCATTGAGGGTTCCACCCCAGTGACAAGAGGGGTTCAGCTCCAGCGACAGTTTGGTACCTTTTTATCTGAGAGCGTAATTGTGGGGAAAAATTGTGTCAGTTTGAATTTTGGCCAAACTTTCACTTTAATTCTTGGCGCTGGAGTGGGTCATTGACATTGCGGTTACTGGGTACGGTTCTGGGAGGGTGAGCAGAGTGCTTTTGGCGGGTTTGGGTCATTGGCTGGGTGTAGACACGGCGGAGTTGTTTCAGGATCACTGGCTCAGTCACTGCTGCAGGTGCCTCTCCCTCGGCTCACTCAAGGACTCGCACTCAGAAAGCTGCGGAGCGGAGGAGAGGACGAAAGGGCCATTTTTAAAAAGTGTAAAACTCCTGTGCGGCGCACTCCTGGCGCAGGGATGAGTCATCGATCGCATTTGACTTGCTGCTGATACATGCAGGGCATGGAGGGCAACATAAGTGCACTATGAGCAGTCCAGGCTCGCTCACAGCAACAGGACTTCAGCTCCGCCAGCTCAAAGCCTCTATTTAATGAATGCAAACGAAACATGTACGTCTGGGTAGTGGCGATACACCTGTTGGGGAATATTTGTTTTTCGCTTCTAACGGTGTCCCCTAGCAGATGCGTTCCTGTCAGTTCTTTTTCATATGCAGCCCCACTTTGGCTACAGATTTCAGAGAAGTGGCATGAGTGGGAGGAGAGAGAGAGAGAGAGAAAGAGAAAGAGAGAGAGAGAGAGAGAGAGAGAGAGACAGAGTGGGGTGTTATGGTCTGATCTATAGAGCAGTAGGCTCACTCCTGAGGATGACGCCTGCACAACGCATCACTGCCAGAGGTCAGAGTGAAGAAGACACACACATGCACACTCAAACACTGAGTGTGTATCATCTGAAAACTCTCCACTGCCATGAGTATCATCTCATCGTCTCTCTCTCTGGCAAACAATTCTACTTTCTCTCCACTTCTCTTTGTTTTGGGTAGCTGCTACAATTGCCAAGAGGATTCATTTTAAGTGTAAATGCCTTTATTTTGCCATAGCAGCTCAATAAAGTTTAAATATGCAAAGTTATGACGACAACAAAAAGAAAAAAAAAATAATTTACACAATTCATCCCTTATCTCATATACAGTTGATCAGAAACAACTTCTTTGGAGTCTGAGATTTGCTTCTTCAGCTTTGCACTGGAGCTACAAGGCTAATGTAGCTAACAAATAATGGGGCCTTATACCTCACCAATCAGCACAGTGCAAACTGCAAGCCCAAATCATGATATACTTGCAGAAAAGCATTCTTATCTCAGTAAAGTGATCTCAGATTATTTTTAGAAGGCAGACTTCTGCCTATTGCCAGAGCATCTGGTGCTTCTGGTTGCCTAAGAGGGCTATCCAAGGCTATTTTGACAGGAAAAGGCCCTCTGGTTGACATGCAAAAAACCAGCCACAGTCTGAGGCAACAGGCCCACACAAAACAAAGTGGA